GAGACGGGTTTCTGCCGATGTCCACTCCCTCTCTCCCTCTACCGCAGATTCTACCGGAAGTGGTGGCTGATGGTGTCTGCTTTCCTGAGATGTCGATTCCGAAAACCCTCCTGCCCAAATGCCCGTTCCCGTCCCTTCGGGAAGTCCGCCACCCCCAGCCCGCAACACCCGCACCTTCCCCCCCCCGCCCGCCGGGAAGATTTGCATCTCTGAATCGGAATTCCAAAGCCGACATCTGAAGTCTGAAATCGTCGAGATCTGACGCATGAATTCTTGAGCCTTGAGCGCGAGAACACGAAAATCGCTGGACAGAAATCCATGCAGCTCAGTAGCATCAACGCAGACGCAGACATGTATGTATGTATGCATGCATGCATGCATGTATGTATGTGTGCACATATATATATATATACATACATACATACATACATACATACATACATACATACACATACATAACAACCTTTTTCATAGGAAAGGTTGGGCTTTCAGCCCAAACCCACCTTTTCCTAGGAAAAAGTTGGATTTTCGGCCCAAAACATTTTTTCCCTAGTAAATACTTGTTTTTTTTTTTGCCCAAAACCATTTTTTACTAGGAAAACCTTGATTTTTGGACCGAAAACCTACCTTTTTTGGTAGGGAAGACAAAAACAAACATCTTTTAGCCCTCTGGCCGCATAGTTTCCCTAAAAAGTTGTTTCGTTTTGGTTTTCTATCGGAAGAAACTAGTTTTTCTGCCCAAAACCATCTTTTTCCTAGGAAATAATTGGTTTTGTGGCCCGGAACCATTTTTCCCCCTAGTTTTGGAGTCTGGCTGTATCGTGTCCCAAAAGATGTGTTGTTTTCCTTGGTTTTCCCTAGGAAAGAAGTTGGTTTTTGATTGGAAGAGTACAGTGTTGCCGTTAAGTGCGTGCTCACGTCGAACCTAAACGAGTTGCTTGGCGGTTGGTTTTTGATTGGAAGAGTACATTGTTGCCGTTGAGTGCGTGCTCGCGTCGAACCTGAACGAGTTGCCTGGCGCGTTCTCTTGAAATGTCAGTTTGGTTTTGGCAGTCTTTCAAAGATACGGAATCCGGACCTGCCGGAAAAGCTTGTTTAACACGGTACTCACGGTATTTACGATACAAAACGAGAGTCGGTAGTTCATGGGGGGTGTTACCATCTATATATATATATATATAGAGAGAGGTACACATCCACGCAGACATGCATATGTGCGCACATACCTATGCCGACCTACTTCTACTGCCGACCAACGTACCGCCAACCAACCTACCGACCAACTTACCCACTAAAGGCATGCCTGGCTACCTACCTCCTGCATGACATTCATGCACAAGTTCAGCGACGTCTCTGTGCATAAGTACACAAGCACACATCCCTCCATGCATCCATCCATCCATCCATCCATCCATCCATCCATCCATCATCATCCATCCATCATCATCCATCCATCCCTCCGTCCATTCATGTCTTCCTTCGCACGGGTACGTGCACATAGACACACGCGCACACACACACACAATGCACCTCGCAACACACACGCGCACAAGCACTTTGTTTGATGTATGCTGTTTGCGCTGGTAGGTGCGGTCTTCGAACTGCCAAGTTGTAGAACACAAAGACTAGCAGATGAAAGATGATCTTGGAAGCCGTACGCTACTTCTCGAACAAGTGCATTATGAGGTGACGGATGAAGGTTGCCAGCTTACTCGTGCCAATGATGGTTGGGAAACTCGGATGCCAAATCTCATCTGCTCTACGAAAGCAGTAAGCAAACGACAATCATGCAGCACTCCTGCAGGCTTGTGCGAGTGCATCACAATCGTGTAGGCAGAACGCCCCTCGAAGTTGAGTGCTGTCAGCAGCGAATATGCACCCGGTACAGTGTAGAATCAGTGTAGAAGTATTTGAGGTTACAACGGTCACCGGCATGTGCAAGCAGCTAGTCGTGCACACCCACACACACACACACCCACACCCGCACCCGCAC